CCGTCCAAATATACCAGACTCTCATATCTCTGTGCTTTTGTCCTAAACAACTTTACCCTGTTTCTCCTCTTAGTAAAACTTATGACTATTCTTCAAGACCTGACTAAGATATCCTAGGGGGCTTTCCCTAACCACAAGCCTCCTCCCATCCCCCAGGCAGAATGAGTGGCTTCCTCATGTGGGTTTCTACAGCACCCCTCCCAGACCTCTGCCTTTGGTAGCCTATAGAGTTTGGGAATAGGTATTTACTTGTATATTGTTTCTTCCCTGCTAGATTGTCACCACCTCGAGAGGGGGAGGGCAGAGACATATCTAATTCATTTATGATTCAGCTAAGTCCCTTTGACACATCTCTGAATTATCAATGTTTGAGGCAGACAGTGCCTGCCAGAAGCAGGCAAGTCTGACCCTGGACATGGATGTGTCTTTGTGGGACTTGGATGGGGGAGTAGGAGCTCAGATTTGCTCTGCCTTCTCCTTTGTCCTCAGAGACTGAGATCACTGTTTATAGTGGGTGGTGGCACTGTTGATGGAAAATGGGTCTACGTGAAAGGTGTTCTGCCCAAGGTTTTAAAGGGCAGGGACCTAAGACAAACTCACCTCTTTCCTTCTCCGCTTATTGGGCCATTTTCGGGCACGATCTCCAGAGGGTCGGCCAGGCTCCCGATCAGAGCTGTCCCCTGGTTCCCCAGTGGCCCCACTGGAGCCCCCCCTCTTCCGCTTTCCAGAATGCTTTAACCGATGTTCTAGTCGCTCTGGGGGCTGAAGAGAGGCATCCTTCTGTGGAAGAGGAGATAGGACTAAAGTAGATGGAGAAAGGAAAGCTCCCGACCTCCCTAGGGGTGACCAGGCTACCAAAGTGGCTCTCAGGCCGGGTAACCTGGTGGGTCCCTAGAGACTAGCTCTACCTCCTCCCACCCCAGGGCGGGGCAGAGACCTGGCCAGAGGAGCCGGTTGCTCTGGTTTGGGGTGCCACCATTCCCCCCTCAACTCCACCCACTCCAGGCACCGTACCCTTCCCTCTGCCCCTGTGAAGCCCCCAAAGGTCCCCAGTCCCATCAGGCCCCACCTGCAAGGCCTCGAGGCTGGCAAAGCTGGCGATGGCGAAGCCATCGATCAAGTCCTCCTCCTCTTCTTCCTCCTCCTCAGGCTCCTCCTCGGCCTCCCCGTCGTCTGCACACCCCCCCTCCTCCTCCTCCTCTTCTCCGCGACTGCCGGAGCCGGCAGGGCGCTTTCGAGCTCGGGGTCGCGGTGGCCGAGGCCTGGGACGGGGCCGCCGCCTTCTCGGGCCTCCGGGACGCTCTCCAGACGAACCTGACGACCAGGGCCTGGCGGGCGGTGGCGGCGATGACGAGGACGAGGAGCCGCGCGGGGCAGCCAACAGGGCCCG